ACATTTGAAGGACGTTTTAAGGTCATTTACCATCCCTGCCTGCAAGTACCTAACGCAGTAGTATTCAAATATTGCCAATCGCAAGAGAGTATAAACAGTATAAAAAACCAAAACAAACTAAAGAAACATTGCGCATAATCGTACATGTTCTATACTATGCTATATTTAATATGCTATAACTCTTAAAACTTGATCGATTATCTATACTCAGAAAAAATATAAAAAAAAACAACTATTAGCAATACTGTTTGAACCTATTATTTGTAAATTAATAAGTTAAAAAAAAAATATAGTAACACTTATTAGCCAAAGTGTAGTTTACCTCGCTGATTACAGAATTGCTTTAGCCTATATGACAAAAGTACAACCCGTAGCTAACTTTCGAATTACTTTTCTGTTCTCCGAATTATTTTTACCATACATTATGTGAGAAGTGTAGTTTCTGAATATGTGTTCGTTTTAGTTTTACAATTCGTTTTCATGGCATATAATTCGATTAAAGTCAGATGACATATGCAGTGTATATGTAACGATACATTTAATGATTAACCAATCAGAATTATGCTAGTTTCGGCCACTTTCGCCCAATTTCGGAACTTTCGTCTTGTTTCGGAAGTTTCGCCTAGTTTTGGAGACGTCGTCCAGTTTCGCAAGTTTCGTCTAGTTTCGGATGTAACTTAGGTTTCGTCCAATTTCGGAAGTTTCGGAAGTTTCTGATTTGGGACTTCTAGTGAAACTATGGTTTGGAAGTTTCGCCCGCCCGAAAGTTTCGATTTAGGCCGAAACACTGGTTACTACCAGTAAATAAGCTTGGGTAAAATAATTCTTTAGTTAAAATATGAGAATTGCTACCATGCTTAGTAATTTTATCCAAAAGTTTAATTTACACTAATGCATCTACCACAATAAGCAGTAGCTAATATAATACAACCAAATGTATTCGATCTGTGAATAAATAAATGTTTTTATTCTGAGAGTGAATTTTAAATTTCGAAAGAAAAATAAACCAAAAAACTTAACTCTGATTTACTATGGAACTTTTTAAATTAAATTCTATCCTATTATTTTGATATACAAAATTAATTATATTCGTATAGCTCATTACATTTGCCTATGCATTTCTTGTTATGATGTAAAAACCTCAAATCAGCTAAAAAAAACTTTCAGAGCAATAGGCATGGGCATAAAATTAATTAAAATTCCAATTTTATCCTGACTAATTATATATATATCCTGCACAGAAGTATCTTAAAATATCTCTATTACGTGAACCAAACATATTTAACTCCGATTCATATTTATTGAATAATTATTTAACAAGGACTACTCCGAAAAATTCACCAATCAAAATTTCTAATTTTATCCTAACTTTAGATACGACCGAAACATACTCATCAAATAATAAAATATCGCAAATATCTTCTCCTTTACGTGACCAATCATTTAACTTCGAATCATATTTACTGAATCCTGTTCTACGAAGTGACAGGGCGATCATTAATGCGAGACTTTATAGTCTAGTACATTTTCTTAATTGCTATCTAGCCTTTTATGGTTGTGATGATTGTTTCTAGTAATGTATAAGTCATTCCTAGTTATTAGGACGAGTGCATATGTTATTTGTAATTTGAATTGCTATTATGTAAATTGTTGGTAAGGGATAACGGGAAAATAACATCAGTATTGCGGTAGGATGAGAGTGTTTTTGGTCGGTGTGTAGTATTTAAGAGCTTTGTGCAGTATTAAGGTGAATTACTTCTCACTTCGCTATCGCTCGCCTATGCTCCTCCCAACAAGAGATAATTAACGATTTACACTGCGTACATCTATTTCCCCATCAAGATGTTAGATGGCTTAAGATACATGTTTTTAAGATTTTGAGCGACATTTCTCGATAAACACCTAACCAAATTCAATTATTTTTTTATTTTAATTCTACACATTCGTATAATTAAAATAAAAAATCTCATCGAATTTTGTAAGGTATGTGTCGAAAAACTTCGCTCAAAGTTTAGAAAGAATCAGTTTTGTCTTAGTAAATTAAGTGCTTTTGAATTTTTCAAAACCTTGAGCGAAAATTTCTCGATACCTACCTGACAAAATTCTATGAAAGTTTTTTAATTTAATCCTACACATTCGTAGGATTAAAAAAATAAAAAAAAATTATCGAGTGTGTGTAGGGATGGGTTCGGCTACGAACGGCTACATAGCCAATTTGCCAATACTGATATGATTTTTTGTTCTTGAGCTTTTAATTAAGGTTGTTCAGAATTAAATTCTGTTCATCATATCTTATAAGTAGAAAGAACGATACCTTCTCTGGAACTCAGATTTTAAGATTTGTTAACATCATAGCCGGCTACTAGCCGCCGGCTAATAGTCGGCTATGACGTTAAAATTTTTAAAATTCCGAGTTCCAGAGAAGGTATCGTTCTTTCTACTTATAAGATATGATGAACAGAATTTAATTCTGAACAACCTTAATTAAAAGCTCAAGAACAAAAAATCATATCAGTATTTAGCAAATTGACTATGAATAATCGTAGCCGTTCATAGTCGAACCCATCCCTAAGTGTGTGTGCCGAGAAATTTCACTCAAAGTTTGAAATAATCTGTTCCGTTTTAGTAAATTAAGTGCTTCTGGATTTTTTAAAACTTTGAGCGATAAGCGCCTGACAAAATTCGATAAAAATTTATTCATATTAATTCTACCGAATTTTGTCAGGTGATTATCGAGAAACTTCGCTCAAAGTTTAGGATCTGCCCATCTATCAGTAAATCAAGTGCTTTTGAAAATTTTTAAACTTTAAGCACAATTTTCTCGATAACCACCTGACCAAATTTGATGAAAATTTTTTATTTAATTATACATATTTGCAGAATTAAAATAAAAAAATTTTATCGAATTTGGTCTGGTTAAAACATTGCTCAAAGTTTAGAAAAAATCTGCCCGCCTATTAGTAAATTGTGCTTCTGAATTTTTTAAAACTTTGGGCGAGGGTTTCTTGATAACTACCTGACCAAATTCAATTAATTTTTTTGGTTTAATTCTACACATTCGTAGAAGTGTATGACGAGAAAACTTTGCTCAAAGTTAAGAAAGAATTAATGCGCTTTTGAATTTTTTAAAACTTTGAGCGAAGGTTTCTCAATAACCACCTGACCAAATTCGATGAGAATTTTTTTATTTAATCTTATGAATGTGCAGGATTAAAAAAAAAAAAAAAGAATTCATCGTATTTGGTCTGGCAGTTATCGAAAAACCTTCGTTTAAAGTTTTAAAAATTTAAAAGCACTAATTTACTAATAGATGAAACTGATTTTTTATGACACATTCTTTACAAAATCCGAGGAATTTTTTTATTTTTTTATGCGAATGTGTAGAAATAAAAATAAAAAAAATTTATTGAATTTGATCAGGTATTTATCGAGAAAACTTCGCTCAAAATCTTAAAAACATGCAAAAAATTGTTTACACGTATCTTCATGAATTTTGATTGGTTGAGTATGCTTAGATCGTCAGGCAGTATCGATATTCATCTAACATATTGATGTATGTACGCAGTTATAGGCTCCGCGTTTGCAAGGACCTGTGGGTAGTTCGTCCTTATGTAAAGTCTTGTTGAGATAATTGGGTTGTCTTTCAGAGCCATTAGCCACCCCAATCGAGCTAGGTTTAGAGACGGCTGTATTGTTGTATTAATGGTTAAGACTTTGGTCTTAAGGTTAAGAACACTGGCACATGTAGGATAGAGCCTGTATTTATATAAGGGCCCTATTCCCATACGTTTTCAGGCTTTTTTAAATAAAGCCATCTGACTGAGTAATAATAATAATAATAAATAAATTAACACGAAAAAATCCACCATTCAAAATTTCCAATTTTATCCCAACTAACTTTATATGTATATATCACCGAAGCATACTCATCAAATAATAAAATATCTTATTATGTGAAAAAATCATTTAACCAATTAAAATTTCCCTTTATCCCAACTAATTATGTATAAGATATTGGTCATGCAACGATTAATATCATGAAATTTGTTTTGTCGGAGCAAATGGTTGGCTGACATGTGCCGCGCAGCGGCACATTTCAGCCAATCATTTGGTCTGACAGAACAAATTTTATGATATTTATCATCGCATGATCCAATATCGATGTTATCGTGCAAATTATGATCATGATTTTCAAGTCATTTTCGGCTAACTGAGTTTTAATTCGAGATTGTTGTGCTTATGTAATAATGTACAAAAAATAACAAGAAGAAAAAAATCTATTATCATATGAGCTTGCACGATAACTATATTATATTTGTGTATATACTGCATTTAGCATAAATACTTAATAAGGGTGAGAAAATTGCAGCTATTTTTGTGATCTAAATTTTGTATCATATTGAATCCGAGCGATCAATTACATAATGTCAATTGATTCTCATAATGTGTATCATCTATGCGTGCAAACACTGTAAACTTTATGAACTACACGCGTTTAATTTTGATATACGAATTTTGGTGAAACGTTTGTTATGTATCGCAGATATCAAGATATGTGGAAGAATAAAGATGATACATTATCAAAAGTAATTTTTTTTTTGTGTATGAAGCATTCATATATGGAAATAATCTGTGAAATAATATAATTCAAACATAACTGTTTCATAAATGCTATTCAGTGTAAAATCATCCCCTTTTACAGGATAATATCCGTTTATTAAAGTTTGGTTTTATATTTCCGTGTAACAAAAACAACAAAAGTGTTACCAATTAAATAAAACAGTCCGAAAAAGCTGACCGGGGTATTTGTTGGTATAAAAATTAAGCGAATAACTTGTTACACAATGCATTAATTGCATCTGCATTTTTTTTTTTGTATTTTTTGTCTGGAACTAGGTTAATAAATCGGTTCTTTAATTTTTATTCTTTATTCATTCTTCCTTTCAAAGGCATTTTTTTTATTCAAGCTATAAAAACTATAACTTAACAATTTAGAGTATATGGCTCTAAAGGTTGGTTTAACTTCCGCTTTATACGCTTTGAAGTATCGTCCTGATTTCGGAACGAAAAATTATTAACAAAGCTTATTTAGTACGAATTAGAACAATGGGGGGCTGCCGTCAAAGCTTATGATGAACAAGATTTCGACCTGGCCTTGGATACGTTCGAGGTAGGGTTGTTAAAACACGTAGATCTGAGCTTTGATTCCAAGTAATATCTTAGTTACTTTCTACACGATTCTTTCTTTCTTCTCATTTATTTGACAATTACTTTTCACGAACAACAGACTATTGCAGACTCTGCAAAATTTCATTTTAATATGGGTCTAATTTATGCTACTCTCGGTGAGCATGAAGAAGCTGTGAGTTTTATACAATTTCTCTCTGTTTTTTGTTGAATTTGCCTCTCGTTAAGCAGTCTTATCGATTATTAAATTAAAGAAAATTCCTAATTTTCACTAAAGTGTCGGTCTTATAAAAAATCTGTAAAATTGGATCAATACTTTGCTGTGGCATACTTTCAAAAAGGTGTTTCACATTTTTTGCTGGGCGAATTTGAAAAAGCACTTGCAAATTTTAATGATGCCTTACTGGTAATTTGTCTAATTTTTTTGGTTTAAATGTAATTAAAAATATTACATTTGATTAACATCATTCTTTTTTAACTTTAGTATCTTCGTGGTAATATGCTTATCGACTATGAGCAGTTAGGCCTCAAATTCCGTCTTTATTCTTGCGAAGTCCTATTCAACCGTGGACTATGCTATTTATACCTTGGTCAAACGGAACAAGGGCTGGGCGATTTTTCTTTTGCAGTTAAAGAAAAACAAACAGAAGAACATGATGTCATTGATGAAGCCATTCAAGTTCAGGGTCAGGTATTGTACTTTTTTTTATTATTTTTTTTCGATATACAAATTATTATAAATTGTATAGTTAATTGACAACGTTCTTATATTTAACATATTACATAGGGTTTCACAGTTTTTTCCATCCCTGTCGGTGTAATATATAGACCTCCTGAAGGAAAACTTAAAAATGTTAAAATAAAGGATTATTTGGGGAAAGCAAAATTAGTTGCTGCAGTAGATCCGGAGGATGCATTCACTGGTTTTACGGGTGCTCAACAACAAAAAGTAAATTCAAATTATTCGTTGCGCAATTTTTTTATATTAGTATAATTTACTGATTCTTTTCTAAATTATTAGAAAGCACAAATGAGTACAACATCTCCAATTAATCAAGGCAAAACTGATGGTGCAGTACTAGATGTTCCTAGACCGGAATCACCAACCGATAAAGTGATTCGGCCCAACTCCTTGTCTACTAACCCAAAATCACCACCTTTCCCTATTCGTGCGACACGCGACCCTAGCTCAAGAAGACGTCCAGAGGAAGGTACTGAAAATAAACCTAGTTTGTTGACCGGAAAATCTACAACTTTATTAAATTAACAATGTCAACTCTGAATTAGAAACTCCAATTTCTCGAAATGTTTCTACGCGAAAAGTATCAAATCAAATAAAATTACAGGATAATCTTCAACGATCTAATACAATAGATAATGGTCGCCCTTCACCAAAACTTCCAACTGTTCCGGCTCGGATGAATTCTGCTAGAGAACCTAGTCGTCCCTCTATTCAGAGATCTTCTAGCGCTAAAGATACAATAGCACGTTCAAATTCCCTTAGAACTTCCCGATCAAATTCTCCAAGAGGCAGTGTACGTTCTCCTCAAAGACAAAATACTGTCGGCCGGCAACAGTTCTTGCAGCAACAAATGAAGAACATGACCGTCACAGATGGCAGCTATAACGATTATAATCAAGATTCTGATCAATATAATAGCGAAGATTATAATCAAATGTATATATTCGTGGATGATTACTTTTGTATTGTGAATAATAATGTTAGTTTAAATTTTAACTTTTCTGATTTAAATGATAAATAATAGAAGTCCAATTGACCAACGTGCTGCTCGGTCAAGTCTACGTGGTCGCACTCCTTCAAAAGGAGCTAGTTTTAGGTCTCCAAAACTGGCCCTGCAAGGCGGATTGGCGACTCCTCCTACCCCAGAAGATGGCGATTATGATTACAGCAACTTCTTGGATGATGGTTATATTCACGGTGAGGAAGATGAACCACAATTTGAAATGGTTTCACCACCACAATATCCTCAGCAATCAAATAAAATTTCTAAGGTCTGTATAGACCAATAGTATTAATTATTAGTCTTTATTACTTGATATATTATACTATATTAAAATTATTGTTTTTTTTTTTATTATAGATCAAGGTTAAATGTCATTATAAAGACAAAACGCCACGAGCAATTATGGTACCCACAAGCATAGCATATGAAGAACTCTCGAAAAGGATACAGGAGAAATTTTCTTTAAATAATCCTTTAAAAATGAAGTACAAAGATGAAGATGGTACAATGGTTATGATGGGTGATCAAGAAGACTTAGAAATGGCTATTTCAATTATTCCTAGGTCTAATAGTGACGTTGGCAGAATGGAGGTACGGTTATTTGTCATATTATGATTATTATGTCTTTGCTTTGATATTAATTTATTACTTTATTGTAATAGGTATGGATAGAAGAGTAGGGCATTATACTACAAATTAATATGTTATTGGCTGGGTCCTATGTGGTAACTCACAGACACATTTCATCAGGGTATTTTGAGTCACATGATAATATTATTTTGGCACTTTATAAAAAATCATTTTGATACTTTATATTACGTTACATATTTAAAATAATGATAAAAATTTTCAAAGTAATAAATATTTAGAACCAAAAATTATAATTAATAGTAGATAAGCAATAGAATCAAGGTTTTTTTAACTTTAGTATTTTATTATTTTTATCATAACACGTTTATAACTATATATATTCATATAGCTTGTATAAAACCAGAAACCCGGATTGTAGTTCTATCGCTATAGTGTAGTCATTAGAACTAATATGCCAAGGGTTATTTATTAGGCGAAAAAAAAATTAGCGTTATATTTTAATAACCAAATAAAACCAAATTTGTCGAATAAACCTATTCATTGTAAATTATATTGTCAAACTTGTTTCAGTTATCATAATACAACATAAATATCATTCTAGAAAATGATTCTATTGTATAATCTTTAAAAATAGCAATAGAATTTCAGAAGCCGGTGTAACAAAAATACAAGATATCTATATTTCTAGAAGAGGTTAAAACGGTATCACGGTTTAACAACTATTGATTTAAGTTTCATATTATAATAAACAGAGATCAATAATACAGTAATACTTTACGCTGCAGGATCTTCGGCTCTTATCAAAAATATTTAACCGACACCTGAAAAAATTTCAGTTTACTTCATTCATATATTCAAGAAATTTGACACACACAGTACACAGGTTGAATCAATGAATATCGGGTGCATACCGGGGGGACAATTTTCCCGATATGTACCCGTTAGTCTGCCATAGATCCGCCGAATATCAGCAGCATATTGGCAGCACATATTGGTATATTACTCTGGGCCTAAAAGTAAGATATCGATATTTTGGCTGATATCGATCTACCTCCCGATATCTTACAAATATGCTGCCACTATGCTGCCGATATTCAGCGGACTAACGGGACATATCGGGAAACTTTTCTCTCGGTATGCATCCGATATTCATTGATTCAACTTGTGTGGTAGTTAATTATACTTTCGTTTTTACGGATGGATTCTGCATAATTACATTCTTGATATTTATATAAAAATTTGCCTAATTTCATCAAAAAGATAACAACTCCGTTTTACCTTTATTGTCAGGGCGTTTTTGATCTACTTTTTAATTTGTATTTAGTGTAGTAAAAACATTAAGCTCCGGACGTATAATAAGCATCTAGTGGTGGGACCTCTTGAATTAATAATAATTAATAATTATTATTAACCAATTAGTTGAGTTATTAACTAAAAATACTTAATAACGTGCAGCGTAATATCATTCTCTATTTCATTAATTTTATGAAAATTCGGTCGATTACGTTTATACATAATATATATGCAGTTTTTTAATGTGATCACGTAGAAATAATCTAGCAATGATCTAATTATTAATAATATATAGTTAATAATATTTAATAATTGTACTAATAACTCGAAAGTCCCATCAATATAAGCATCGTATGATGATTAATATCATATATCGTGATTATTAAATCATATGATGATTATTATATGATCTGAAATTTTTTGGGTGGCGATTTAAACCCCGCGACTCGGGTAATAAATAGTCCTTATTTCAAATAGTGCTCGGCACAATCAAACAAAAATTTGACAATCAAATTCTTGTGATTAAGTCGGTCGCAGCTCAAGCAATACTATGTATATATTTAGTTTTGGTTGATCTACGATTGGGGTGTTAGATACCAAATGATTTACTCAATTTAAAATTATGTATCTTTAAAATGTTATAACTCCCATTTTAGTAAAGCATATTCGATTCTATGTATAACTTGCGAATGATATAAAAATAGTGCAGTTTTAAAATTATGTTCCCATATTTAATATATAAATCTTAGTAGGTCTCTATAATTTAATCGTTTAAAAATACTATTAAAATGTTATAACTTTCTTTCTAGTAAAGTAAATTCGATTTTGTAACTTGCAAATGATATAAAAATAGCTTTAAAAACTGTATAGGGATCTGCAGGTCGGGCTCATACCCATGCCTAACAAAAAGCATAGGCAAGGTGCAGGCACAAAATCTTAGGCACGGACATAGGTACGGGCACGCACGGG